GGTGTTGGCGGAACCAGGGCCGCGCCGCGTGCGTATGTGCGTATGTGCGTGTGTGTGCGTGTATACGTGCGTGCGTGCGTGCGTGGGGTCATCTGGGGTCAGAGCCTCTTCCGCAGAGGCATTCACGGCACTGGCTGCGCTGGGCTGAGGCCTTTCTCGCGCTTCCCTCCCCGGCTTGTTCGCAATAAAGACTTCAAGGCCGTCATGGCCACGACGCACAGTCGCTAAGAGCTGGACGCAGCCGAGTGCCCACCAGTGACGAGTGGACTGAAACCGGCGGTGCCGCTGCAGATGGAATACGACGCGGCTGCGAAAAAGAACGCGCTCTTCCCACTCGCAGCGCCGACGGACAGACGGACGGACGGGCCGGGAGAAGCCAGTCGGAGGAAGGTCAGTTCGCATGACCTCACTCACCTGTGGAATCTAATGAACAACATACACTGATGAACAAAATAGATCCAGAGACAGGAAGCATGGAGGAGACCGTCCAACCTCGGGAAAGGCGGGGAGAGAGCAGCCCCTGGACCGGCATGCAGCTGAGCAAGACTCAGGGACCAGACAGCAGGGGGCGGGGGCGGGCAGGGACAGGTCAGTGGGGCAAAAGGAGACATATGGAATACTTTAAACAATGAAGAATAAATTAAAAAAAGAAAAGTTGAACCGACTTAACCTCCTAGCAACAGTGGGGAAAAACAACAACAAAAACTTCAACCCCTTGATATAACTTGCACTGAACATTACTAGGCACGACGTTGGAGATAACAGTGCTACCTTTAATAAAACCAACCCCATATGAAAAGAGCCGTTAGCAAAATACAAATTAAAACTGCAACGAGATATCACTGCACACCTAACAGACTGGCTACAGTTAAAAATAGTGCCCAGCAGGTGTGGCTCAGTGATTGTGTCACCCTATGAACCAGGAGGTCACAGTTCAATTCCCCTCAGGCTGCAGGCTCCATCCCCTGTAGGGGGCATGCAGGAGGCAGCCAGTCAGTGATTCTCTCTCATCATTGATATATATATATATAGACAGCACCCAATACTGACGGGGATGCAGATATTGAATCATTCATACATTGTGCCAGGAATGTAAAATATTACAACCTCTCTGGAAAACAGATTGGCAGTTTCTTAAAAAATAAAATATGCAATTACCATATGACCCAGTAATTGCACTCCTGGGCATTTATCCCAGAGAAATAAAGATTTATGTTCACACAGACACAAAAATAACTGTTCAAATGTTTATGGTAGCTAAATTCATAATATAGTAGTCCTCCATATCCACGGGTTCACTCTCTGTGGTTTCAGTTACCCATGGTCAGTTGTGGTCCAAAAATGGTAAATGGAAAAATCCCAGAAATAAACAATTCATAAGTTTTAAGATGTCCCTCCATTCTGAGTCGCGGGATGAAATACCACACTGTCCTGCCAGGTCTGTGAATCATCCCCTTGTCCATTGTCTCCACACTCTACACACGCACTACCCGCCCGCTAGTCACTTAGCGCCATCTCCCTGGTCAGGTTGACTGCCTCAGTATCGCAGTGCCTATGTCCAAGTCACCTTATCTTACTTACAGATGGCCCCAAAGCACAAGAATGATGATGCTGGCAATTTGGATACGTCAAAGAGAAGCTGTAAAGTGCTTCCTCTAAGTGAGAAGGTGAGTACAGTGCAAGGTATTTTGAGAGACCACATTCATGTAACTTCTATTACATTATATTGTTACAGTTCTCTTTTTATTATTAGTTATTGTTGTTCATCTCTTGCTGCACCTGACTTATAAATTAAACTTTATTATCGATACATACGTATAGGAAGCAACAGCACAATGTACCCTTGAACAACATAGGGGTTAGGGGTGCCAACACCCCTTGCAGTTGAAAATCCACCTATAACTTACCTACCAATAGCCTACTGGTGATGGCTAACCTTACCGATAACATAAACCGTTGGTTAACGCGTATTTTGTATATTATATGTATTATGTAATGTATTCTTACAATAAAGTAAACTAGAGGAAAGAGCATGTTTTTAAGACAATCATAAAGAAGAGAAAATAAATTTACGGCACTGTATATATTTATTGAAAAAAAATTTGTGTATCAGTGGACCTGTGCAGTTTGAAGCCATGTTGTTCAAGGGTCAGCTGTATGTCTAGGGTTCACTAGTATCCACGGTTTCAGGCATCCCCTGGGGGTCTTGAAGTGTATTCCTCACAGATAACAGGCACCACTGTAGCCACCTTCTGGAAAAAACCCTGGAGTAAACAGAATAATGGCCTCCCAAAGATGTCCGCATTCTAATCCCTGGAACCTGTGAATATATTACCTTACACGGCAAAAGGAATGTGATAAAATAAAAAGTCTTCTGGGTTACACACATAGGAATGGCCACAGTGCTTTGTAGTTCCTCCCATCAAGAGATGAAGTTGGGCCCTGGCCAGTGTTGCTCAGTGGTTGAGCATTGTCGACCTAGGAACCAGGAGATCATGGTTTGATTCCCGGTCAGGGCACATGCCCGGGGTTGCGGGCTCAATCCCCAGTGTGGAGCATGCGGGAGGCAGCCAGTCAGTGATTCTCTCTCATTATTGATGTTTCTATCTCTCCCTCTCTCTTCTGAGCAAATGGGCCGCACTGCACGGCACTGGGCAGGGCACTGGGCAGGCTGTGCGGTAGGCCTTCCCCAGGCTCCCACCAGCCCAGGGTTCTGTGCATATGAGAACTGAGAACTGAAAAGTTAATAGGAAAATTTTAATGTCATCCAAGGATATTATAACTGGTTGCTTCCCAAACCGCAGTGGTTGTTAAATATTCTGAATATCACCTCTGATGATAGCCCCCAGATACTTTCATTTGCCTAGAGTTTCTCTAGAGGTCCTAACCCATAGAGCCAGTTCCCTCCACGGGGTAAGCTCCACTCCCAGACACCCAGACACCCTCCACGTCGCGCAGAACTCTTCCTGCCCTTTCCCAAGCCTGCTCTGGTGGCCCCACCACTAACCAGCTCAGCCAGAAACACAGCCTCTCCCTCACCCTCACAGGCAGTCAGTCACCAAGAAGTGAGGATTCATCTAAACACACCTCCTTCACCCGCCCCCTGCCCTGCAGTCCTGCCTGGCCAGGACCTAGAAACTTGGCACAGTGATTCTAACTCCAACCCCCTTCTCTGGCCATAGTTGACACCTCATTGCTCCAGACCTGTAATAGGTTCCCCAAACATGACAAGTTCCCTCAAACCTCTGAGCCATTGTACATGCTGTTCCCTTTCCCTACAATGCTGTTCTCTTTCCAAGAGCTCCAAACACTCATCCTCTAATACCTGGCTCAAATGCCCCCTCCTCAGGGGGGCAGCCTGGTGCAGAGGGCAGACAAATCCTCAGGAAGGTCGGCAAAATCACACGATGGAGACACCTCTCATTGAGGCTCCTCTGAAAACTTAAACTCTCATCGTTATGAAGGGAGGGGAGGAACTCCGGAGAGAGAAGGGAAAGAGGGAGGGGGGAGGGGAGGAAGACGCTGAGTTATATATGGGCAGGAAAATGCAAAATGCATCATTTGTAGAAGATGCAATTGCCTTCTAAAGCAAATCCAAATGAACCAACTGAGAAATTAATAAAACTATAAGAGAATAAGCTAAGAGGGCTGGGGAAAGATCAGTAGACAAAATCAATAGCTTTCTACTCATCAATAACAAATTAGGTCATATAATAGGAAAAAAGATGTTCCATCAGTGATAGCCATCATATACTTACAGACCCCAGGAACTGGCACAGACCCTGCACTGAGTGCCCAGGTTCC